AGGATTGGTTTATTGGATTGATTTGCCACTGAACTCGGCGAAAAGCCCCTTCTACTTTCCTAGAATTCATTTTTTTCCGTTACAGAGGATATTGAAGTCAAAAATTGCTTACATTGTCGTGAAAATGTAAAAAAGTAATCGAAATCTTTTTTTCACATGTGACTGACCTCTTAAAATCATTTCATCGCTTATGTTAACAAAAAACTAGTTTGGACCTGAAGAGAACAATTCAAAGTGGAGTGACTCTAATTACATGCCCTTCAACGTGCATTTGGTACACCTAAATGTTAACCTAAGAAGTACAATGAAGGTCAGAGTAGATGTACTTTATTCGGAGAATTTATCATGAAATGTGCAAATAAGAAGAATTCAGATATAAAAGAAATCTACTGGCGCGTGCGCGAGCGACTTTCTTCATGCACATGTTTGTTTCTGTTTTTATTGTGTTTTTTTATTTCTCTCCCTTTTGAAATCTTAGTTTTATGTTCCTCCACTGCTGCGCTTTGACTTCCATGGATTTGTTTAGGATTTGCAACTAGTTGATTTTCCAGAAAACAGGAATAATCTTGTTATCTAATGTTTATTGTAGTTTCAGAAATTCAATTTCTCATCTTTCTTATATTTTTAGGATTTCGCCGACCACTTAAAATGTTGCTAACTTCAATTGCTATAATTTTGTTAATTGGTCAATTAGCAAACCCATCTCCTGTTAAGCGGGAAGCCGAGGCGCAAGATGCTATCGTTGAAGAAACCACAGCTACTGTAGTAGAAGGTGATATTATCGAAGGAGAAGCAGACGCTGCTGGAAAGGTAGCGGAAAATGGAACAGATGGAGAACAAGGTACCGCGGAAGGAGGGGAAGATGAAGCAGCACCTGAAGCAGAGGGTGAAGCAGCAGCTGACGCGGAAGGTGAAGCAGCAGCTGACGCGGAAGGTGAAGCAGCAGGTGGAGAAGCAGGTATTCCTGAAGAAGTGGCGGATGAAGCTGCAGAAGCTACTACGAGTGAGGAAGGCGCGACAGGTGAAGAAATGAGCTTGGATGATGAACCTGTCGTTATCACAGAAGGAGAAAATGAAACAGCTCCTGATACGGAAGAGATCGTAACTATCGTAGAGGGTGAAAATGCAGCTGACACTCCTAACGGGGACCCGGTTGTGATCGAGGAAGAGCCCGCTGCTAGGAAATGATCTTTACTCAATAAAGAAAATTTTACTCGTACCGGTGCTCTATCATTTATAATTCGTTGTGATTGATGTATAAATTCGAAGAAGATATGTATGTGTGTTCCCTACTAACCTGCTAGGAGAATATTTATCCCTAATCTATTAAAGAGCCTACTTTCATAAATTCACTCTAAGGAGTTCAGTGAGAACGTAAAGGAGCGTATCTGGTGTGAGATCTTCTCAAATTACTTTGATTATAACGGTCAAAATTTTGCACACTGTTGAAAAGCAAATTGATGATGCACCATATGTTACGTAACTCTTAATGTTATGGCATATTTACGGCCTGATTTTATATGAAAGGATAACTTTTTGGAAGATTTATGACAATTTTTCTAATAAACTAAAAAGGGCACATAGGT